TGTCACATAACAACAGCAACATAGGTTTCACCTGAGCACATAAAGAATTTTGCTTCTGCAAATCAGAAAAAAAAATCATAGTAAAGAAAGTCGCACTTTCTTGCTCAGTCTTTCCCTCCCTCTCCCTCTCCCTCTCCCTCTCCCTCTCTCCCTCTCTCCCTCTGCCTCCCCGATCCCCTCTCTCAATGTCTTTGAACTGGAACCAACTCATAGTTCAACCTCCACTGGATTTAGATTTCTGAGGCTGTAAAAAGCAAGGAATGAGATTGCCCATCTTTCTTACTCTGAGCTTTTCGTGGGTTTGGATGCTAAAAAAGTGCATACTGTTTTTGGGTTGGCAGAACAATTTTTTCCAGACTACTCCACCAGCACTCCCTAAAAGGTGTCTTCTTGTCCTGAGCTGTTGCATTGGAAACAACCCATAGCTCACGCAGCAGCAGGTTTTCTGAGGCAGTGAAGGAGACTATCCATCCTTCTCCCTCGGAGCAGCTGGCAGATTCAAACCTAGTGCCTTTGGGATCGCAATGTGGCTTCTTATCACTAGGCAACCATAGCTGCTAAAAGGCAGTGTTGTTGTTAGGTGCTATTGAGTGCAGTAGGACCCATAGCAACATGAACAGCACTGCAGAAAGTATTCTAGAGTTAACATTTTCAGCCCAAGTTATGAAGTACTGAAATTCAATGTGCTGCCAAAATTCAAAGACAGGTTTTATACAGTAAAGTGTAGAACTATACAGAGTTTATTATAGTGTAAGTGTCCTGTTTCCTACCCTTTTGAAGTCTCATCACAGAGACGTGATTATGTATTAACTGCCAATCATTTGAAAGTATCACTGAATTTTTATCCTGGTTTTTAGTATTCACAATATTTGAGAAGTTCAATGACTTCTCAGAAAGTTTTCTATTCTTGTAAAAGCAGTTAGAGCAGGTGATACTTTCAAACAAATTTTTTAAAAAAATAGGTATTATAGAATTCCAGTTAGGTAGCCTAAGGGAAAATACGTAGACTCCACTTTTTAGGAATGCAAGGTAGAAACTATGTCTGGTTTTGCTTTAAAATATTACTGAACTACCAGCAATTTGTGTAGTGTTGATATTAATGTATAAAACCCCAACCAACTAAATAAAAAAATTATTGCTGTCAAGTGAGAACCACTTATATCCAACTCTCCACTGCATCACTAAAGTTGTAAACTCATTGTCTAGCTTTTAGATGCATATGAAAAGAAGTGAAATGGAAAAGAGAATGACTTGGGTTGGGCACACCTTAGTCTTTAAACTGACATCGTTGCTCTTTAGTAATTTGCAGCATCATTGACAGCAGATTTCACAAAATGCATCACATCTTTTGATTTCTTGACTGCTGTTACTCTGTGTAACTAATTATAAGTTCAAGTAAAAAGAAATAGTTAGCAACTTCAATCTCTTCTCCATCTATCACGATGATGCCTATTGGTCCAGTGGGGAGGATTTTTGTTTACTTGATGTGAAGATGGAGGTGTTCTATTATTGCTGTTATGTGCTGTCAAGTTGGAACTGACTCATAGCTGACCTTCCAGCAAACAAACTTTTCAGAGGCAGTAAACTGCAAAGGAAGATTGCCTATCTCTCTGCATTGGAGCAGCTTGTGGATTTGAACTGTCTTTCTTTGGATTAGCTGCACCACTCCTTAATACTAGTCTTTCAGAATTCTCTAAAAGAGATCTAGGCAGGTGTACTGCAGGCAATGAAGCATGTGGAAGAAGCATGCTAGGCAAAAGAATTATAGTTTGAATCTACCAGCTCTCCACAGAAGTAGGATGGGTAATCTATTCCATTTAGATTAACTGCCTTTGAAAACTCAGTGGAGGGTCAGCTGTGACTCGGTTCTGACTTGATAATAGATGACAACAACAACAACATCATCAACAACAACAGCAAGGCAAAGGACTATCAAGTGAGAGATTTGGAAGCATGACTCAGAGGAGAAAGAAGTGCAAATGACCTTGCCAAAGCCTCTTCAGTCTTCAGGGACATAGTGCTGTCATTACCTCCTTCTGTTGTGAAGTTTTGCTCCAACAATATTTAAAGTTTTGCTCTCTAACTTATCACCACCCAGGGAGCGAGGTGCTGGTCGTACCAGAAGCTGTCACTAAAGAGGCTGAGATGGGCAACATGAAGGACAAGCAAAAACCATTAACATCTGAGATACTAATCAGAGGCATGCTTCTTAGCTTGCTGCTCTCCTGCTCATTCTCTGGGCCTTGGTAACACCGAGACATTTGACAAGAAACAATTGACAAGGAGCCTTGCTGTGATTTGTACTTCCTACCACCGTGGCAGCTAATTCACCCATATAACCCTTCAGCCTTCACTGATTTTGTCTTAACTCTGTCTCCTTTGTGAAACAAATCAGATATTTTATCTTTGATTTCACCTGAATTTATGAAAATATCCTTATTTATCTGTTATGCTTTTAAAATTAAAACAAACCTACTGTCAGTGGACTGATCTGTTGGGGAATGTTGGTGAGGAAGGGAGGGCCTCAGGCCAGGACAGATCGCCTAGCTCTGGATAAGTGCAAGCCTCCCAACAGCCTTTAATACGGGATAGAGAAAGCTCCCCTGTGTTTGACTGTACTGGCTTGAGAAAGCTCACCACCTGAGGAGATGGCTGCTGCATCTGTTGAGCTGGGAGTGGTCCACATGAGGCTGAGGTTCTCCTATCCAATCCACACATCCCACATCTGCAAGCCCACCTTATCCTGTCTTCCTGTTTACTTGCTGGTATATAAGTGCACGTTAGTCTCCAATAAAGTTGAGCTGGATCGACTCTCTGGATGGCTAGCAGAGTAGTGTGTCTCCATCGTGCTTACCCCCATCAGGGTGTCACTGTTCATTGCTGGTGAATGGATATCAACATTGGTTCCTGTTCATAATGACCCTATAAGACAGAGTAGCATTGCCCCATTGGGTTTCCAAGGTCGCATCGTTGCAGAAGCCGACTACCACATCTTTTTCTCATGAAGCAGATGATGAGTTTGAACCACTGACCTTTCAGTTAGCAGCCCAACAATCACTGTACCACCAGGCTCCTTGTTCCACTGTGTAGCCCAATGCCTTTTAATTGATTCAAATCCATAGTGACCATCCCTTGGGTTTTTGAAGCTGTAAATCTTCATGAAACAACCCAACTCATCCTTGTTGAGGTAGAACTGACTTAAAACTGAGTTTCCAGTGGGATTCTGAGTGTGTAAACCACACAGAGGAGGTTGTCCATCTTTTACCCACAGAGCACCTGATGGATTTGGATCACCGGCGCTGTCTCTGAATTAGGAGCACAATTCCCTACAGACTCGTTATTGTGTACTGTCAAGTTGGAACTGACCCATAGCTGACCTTTTGGCACATTTTCAGAAGCAATAGGAATTGCACTGGAAGAAGAGGTTATTCATCTTTCTTCCATGGAAGAGCTGCTGGATTTGAACCAGCATTTGAACCTGGATTTGAACAAACCTTTGGGTTGGCAGGGCAATTCCTTACTATAAAAGCACCAGAAGGGAACTCTGGTGGCCTCGTGGCAAGAAGTTGTGCTACAATCCGGAAGCCACGTGGTTTGAGGCCACCAGCTGTTCCACGGGAGAAGGATGGGCAATCTCCTCCTGTGTGATTAACTGCTTCTGAAAACTCACCAGAGGGTCAGTTATAGATCTGTTCTGACTTCTACAGTACACAACAACAACAAAGAACCCAAGGCCATCGTCTCTTTCCTTCTGGGATTGGTAATTGTATTCAAATGGCTGACTTTGTGATTAATAGGCCACACTTAGCCCACTATGCCACCATGGTTGTTCTGTGAACCAAAAGATTGGCAGTTAGAATCCACCTGCCTGCTCACTGGGCAAAAGATGGGCAGTGTCCTTTCATCATGACCTCAGAATCCTAATGGAGTATCAACTGTAAATAGGAATGAACGCTCCTGCAGTGGGTTCCCCTGCTAGTGTTGTGTATATATCAGGCTGCCAGGTCATTCTATCTTGACTTCTTGCTAAGAACTCCCACCTCAGATGTACCGAGTCAAAATCTACATTTTAACAGGATTCCCAAGTTTGCATGTCTTGTGTAAGAATCTAGAACGAGCTGATTTGAAGCCCTGTCGTGTTCATGCTCCTTTGAATCAATGGCCTGGTTGTTGTCAGGCTCTTGTCTGTCATGGGGACAGCAGGCCAGCGTCGTGGTACGCAGGGGCCATGGCTCAACCAAGGGAGTGGGAATCAGTGCACACATAGGAAGGGATATGTGTGGCCCCCCCCCCACAGGAAGGAAGGGGTGGAAGACAGCCTACCATTCTCTTTCCTTAAGATGTCAAGCTTGGCTCACTTGTAGATACAAAGAAGAGAACTATTTGTGGCTATGGAGTTTCAACAGTTGGATAAACTGACAGAAAAGTGGTAGGAAGAAGAGAGTGAGGGAAGTGTGTGGATTATTTACCACCTCATGGTCTTTGTAATCACTTGCTATGCATCAGGGAGCTGGACAATGACTAGGGAGGATAGAAGAAGAACTGATGCCTTTGAGCTGTGGTGCTGGAGAAGAGTATTGAATATGTCATGGACTGCTAAGAAAACAAACAGATTCATCCTGGAGAGGGTTAAACCAGGCTGCTCTTTGGAGGCAAGGATTCTGAAGCTTTGTCTGACATACTTTGGACATGTTGTAAGGAGGGCCAAGGCCTTGGAGAAGGACATCATGCTTGGGAGGGTGGAGGGACAGCGCAGGAGGGGAAGACCCTCTATGAGGCGGATTGATTCAATGACTGGGGTAATCAGGGTGGGTGTGTCAGGGACAGTGAGATTGGCACAGGACAGGGCAGGGTTTAGGGCTGTTGTAGATAGGGTCGCTATGAGTCGCAAGCGACTCGACGGCACATAACAACACCTCCTTCAAGTGCATTCTAGTTCAACAATTTTCTTTCCAACCACAGACTATATTTTTCTCCTCTCTCCCTTTTTCATGCACTAGGGAACTTTGCCGGCTATAACTGTGGAGACTGCAAATTTGGCTGGACCGGCCCCAGGTGTGACCAGAAGAAAGCACCAGTGGTTCGGAAAAATATCCATTCCTTGACTCTCCAGGAGAGGGAGCAGTTCTTGGATGCCCTGGACTTGGCAAAGACCACTATCCACCCCGACTATGTGATCACCACCCAGCACTGGCTGGGTCTGCTGGGGCCCAACGGGACTAAGCCACAAGTCGTCAACTGCAGCTTTTATGATTTCTTTGTGTGGCTCCATTATTACTCGGTCAGAGATACATTGTTAGGTGGGTTCTCCCTGCCCCTTGGCTGAAGGGGTATTATTTTAGGTTTGTGATTGTGGCTGGTAGGAGATAATTTCAGGGAACTTAATTAAGAAGAGAACAACCTTGATGGAGGGTTGAGTTTATAAGAGTCACTGAAACATCAAACGCTGCCTGAAGTTAGAATGTAGCCGTGTCTTCCCATACTTTAAAGACACTTTTTAAAGACACATACATCCCCTAATCTAGATAGCGTCCTTGGCCCAAGGTCCAAACTTTGTCTACAGAGCTGTTTATCCTCCAAGGCAAGAGTCAGTGAAGTGAAGGTGAATGCGTTTTGATCTTAGAGGAAAACTTAGTTCTAAATCAGGTCACGGAAGCCCTGTGTGAACTTTGCTTCCAATAAGCAGATTAACAGGGCACGAGCCCTAAGCACATGAAACTTCTTTGTGCAGACTTAGATGGTTGGTGTTGGAAACGCGCATCCAGTTAAACACCAGGTATGGGCTTGGAGTTGCCGGCAAGGCTGAGAAGCCTTTTAGGATTGTGGGGTCGAGATGCAGTCTCTGGGCAGTGCAAATGCTTAGCACAGTTTGTTTGCCCTGAGGTGCCTTGAAAAGAAGGCCTGGTGGTAAGCTTCCAACATATCAGCCGTTAAAACCCTGTGTTATAAAGGCAATGGAGACAGATTTACGCAAGCATTATAGGCTACAATGGCTCATTACACACCCAGCCCTGTGTTTCCAGAAATAACAACCATTAAAACAGGAAAATTCTGGGAAGCACGGTTCTCCCGTGGCCAGGAGTCAGAATTGACTTGATGACACCTGGTTTCATTGTCAAGGAAAGGGACAAGCTGAGCTTGGCAATGGAGAGTTCCTCTTGTGTAGCCCCTTGAACAGCTGTTAGGTTTGTATCGTGAGAAAATGGTACCTGTGTATCCGATGATCCTAAAACCTGGGATCTGGGTAAAACTTGCAATGGAGGTTCTTGTCTGTTATGAAACTTCAGTACCCAGAGGTCAACTTTATCCTTAGTTATTTTTCAGTCTAATTAGAAAACAACAACAACAACAAAACACCCAACAACAATGAACATCAATTTGTTCCATGTAGGACTGAATCCATTCTCAATTCTACCCAGAACAGTTCTGAGCTCGTGGCTGTACCCACAAACTCTCCTCTGTTTTGGGGTGAGGGTAATTGAAAATATGGAGCTGATTTGGGAACAGCAAGCTAATCTCGTTTGGAATCGTCTGTCCTTGTGCTTATCACCTGCTCCCTGTTACATGTTCTTCCCTCATCGTTTCGTTTTGAGAATTTTAAATTTTGTCCAGGATTAAAGCATTAAAAAAGGACCAGACCACCGCACCGTCAGCAGTCTTTTTCTTAGTGGGACTCTTTGTAAAGCTTGCCTCACAGGTAAGCATCTGTCTTTCTTTATCGATACACGAGAAGGCTCTTCTGGCTATAAACCTTTATAGTTCTCCTATCATCACTCTGAGGGATTTTTGCTTTATGAGAGGGTAGTCTCTCAAGAGGAAAAGAAAACTATAGTTTCTGGTCGGATCTGGGAATTAAATTTATATTCATGTCTGCTCGGCTCTCTGAAGTTATTATGGGCAGTTTGAAAAAGAACTAAAGTTAGCTAAAGTTTCTACATAACCATCAAAAGCTGTTATGAGACAGGGAAGAAGGATGGAACAGACGGTAAGGAGGTCATTAAATTGCCCAAAGCTTTTCACTAAAATTGGCGGTTCCAGTGGCTAGCCAAATTGGTTTGAATCTATTTTTCTCTTTTTTAGTCTCGGCAACCATGCTTGTCAGCTGGTAGTTGTAGCTGATTGATGGGTGAGGCAAACCTTGTGGAAGTTCTTTTTGCTTCTATGAACACTGCATTGGAACTCAGTGCAGTTAAAGTGACTATAGTATCAATTAACTCTATTCTAATCAGTAACACACTAAGTTATTCATTAACCCTGCTCATAAATCTGTACATATGTCAGAAGCGAGCCAGAAAAGTTCTTTTAAAAAGAAATATTTAATAAAGATCTGTCCTGGATATGCGACTTCATTTCAATGAGCTGTTGCTTTAAAAAGAAATATGCAATAAGGGTTCTTAACGCTGAAAATGACCTAATTTGATTTCTCTGAATCTCAAACTTTTGAGACACAAGAAGTTTTTCCTAAAATTGCTCCTTGCTTCTGAAATTGTTTTGTCATTATTGTGGTTGTTGTTGCTTTCAGGTAGAAAAATTAATTTTTGTTCCTTTAAAGAACCACAAAACATAATCATTATCAAGGAGCTTTTTGGCACAGGCCTTAGGGATCTGAACTGCTGATCTAAATGCTACACCTCTTTGGGGGTGTGAACCCCTAAAAAATCCTCAGAAGAGAGATACACAGTCTCCTCTCATGCAATTACAGCGTCTGAAAAATACCCTGGAAAGTCAGCTATGAGTGCATTTTTACTCAAAGAAAAAGAGTTTGAGTTTTAAAAACCTATTATCATTTAACTGGTTCTGCAAACACATCCCGGGTTAGCGCTAACATTTTAAAAATTAGGTCGCATGACTTTAATGATTTTCCCAATTGTTTTAGGACCTGGACGCCCGTACAAGGCCATAGATTTCTCACACCAAGGACCTGCCTTTGTTACCTGGCACCGGTACCATTTGTTGTTGCTGGAAAGAGATCTCCAGGTCGGTCAAAACCATGTATTCTGTACTACACAGGTTTTTTTCCTATCTTTTTTAAAATTATTATTAAATTTTACTAATTTTAATTAACATTTACAGAGATTTTGGGTTTTCATTCATTCATTGCTGCACTATTTTCTCTACCCTCCTCTCCAGTTTGTTCTTCTTCCCCTCTCCCCCCAAAAGTCTGTTTTAATTGTCCCATTGCCACAGTGCTTGTCAAAGACAGTTCTCAGTTCTGCTTAACCTCCTTTGTCAGTGTGTCCTTTGCCATTCCTATCACTCCTCCCTGAGAGAGACTTCACCCTGATTCATAAGGAAAAGGGGATGCGTATTCTCTTAGCTACTTCCTACTGAAAAGGGACGCTGTGGGTTTCAGGGTGAAGATCTTTTCTCACTATTCTAAAGAGCCCCTTTGGCAATAGGAAACACATAGACTATTATGGAGATTGATTTTGGAATTTAGATGCACTGTTATCAATTGTGCTTAGCCGTACATGTTCATATCCTTGAAGATGTATTATGGAATTGTTGCAGCCTAGAAGACACAAATTTAACTAACAAGCTAAAAGTACATGAGTCAAAAATTAAAAAGCAATAATATTCCAAGTAGAGCCTCTAATAGTGGCACAAATCAAGTTACAGAGGGAAGGTAGTTCTTACAATAAAAGGCCTAATGAGTAGCACTTTGTACTATACAGTTTTGATGTCAATTTGAGTAAGATATTTTTTAGTCTTTCCGGTTGTGTGTGATGGCATGGGTTAAATGACAGGACAACGGGCCTTTTGTTTTTAGCGACTGACTGGCAATGAGTCCTTTGCTTTGCCCTACTGGAACTTTGCCACTGGGAGAAACGAGTGTGATGTGTGTACAGACCAGCTGTTTGGGGCAGCCAGGCAAGACGACCCAACTCTGCTTAGTCCGAACTCAAGATTCTCCAGCTGGCAAATTGTCTGCAACAGGTAATGCCATTTGCACTTGCAGTGGAAATCCAGACCCACACTATCGTTCATTCTTGGCTTTCATTGGTGACCTAGTGGTAGGAAGCTGCACTGCAACTCCAAAGGCATGCAGTTCAAATCTACCAGTTGCTCTATGGTAGAAGGAGGGACAAGATCCTCTGGTGTAATTTTACTGCCTCTGAAAACCTGCTGGAGAGTCAGCTATGAGTCATTTCTGACTCAATAACATACAACAACAACATTGATATATATGTAACGAAATATCTGATAGCTCAACAATCTTAACATCACAGTTCAGTGACGTGAGTTATTTGTATCCTGTTGTACAACCATCACCATTATCTATTCCCAAATCACCCTTAATGGAAGCTCAATGCCTCTTAAGGAAGCGTTGTCTCCTCCTCCCTCCCTCCCATGCACCCCGTGTCACCACTAATAAACATTGGTTTCTAGCCACTTGCCTTGTTGTTATTGTTGTGTGCTATCGAGTTGCTTGTGACTCATAGTGACCCTATGTACAAAAGCCCTAAACCCTACTCTGTCCTGTGCCAACATCACTGTCTCTCACACACTTACTCCCACCACCCCACTCACAGAATCGATCCATCTCATCGAGGGTCTTCCTCTTCTGCACCGTCCCTCCACTCTCCCAAACATGATGTCCCTCTCCCAGGACCAGTCCCTCCTTGCTACATATCCAAAGTATGTCAGACGAAGCTTCAGAATCCTTGACTCCAAGGAGCATTCCAGCTTCACCCTCTCTAGGACAAACCTGTTTGTTCTCCTAGCAGTCAATGGTATATTCAACATTCTTCTCCAGCACCGTAGTCTGGATATTATGTATAAGTGTGATCACACCATATTTGTCCTTTTGTGACTGACTTATTTCACTCAGAGTGCTTTTGAAGTTAGAGACCATATTTTCTTGTGTTTTAGTGAGGGAATGGAGAAGAAGCCACTCTACATTTGTCTCTAAGACATTCTGTTTACACGTTTCTTTCAATGATTTTCCCATGGAAGGTGAGATTGTATATTTCCAAGCACTTTGGTAAAAGCAAACAACAAAAATCAGATGTTTTAAACCAGATTTTATGAATTGAGTATGGTTGGTCATCATTGGAGATCAACTACTTTAAAATTAGGAGTGGTTCTTGTAGACAACCAACATTTGTTAAGCATTTACCACCCTAGACAATGGAATAGCTCTGGAAACACTAAGTGAATAATTTATAGTCTCCTGTCTGGTAAAAAAAATAAGACCATACAACTTAAGAAGCACCATAATAGATGGACTTTCTAAGCCAAAAAGGTAGCCTTATTCTTAGACTTCAGAAATAAACATCCTTTCACCAGATGTAGGTAAAGGTAAAGAATGTGTGAGAGGTGGAAAGTAAGTCCTGCATGGAAGCAATAGTATATGGGAAGCTGATAAATTCTCTGGGTACAGTCTGGTATGGTTGACCCCAGGGTGTTGGTGGATTTGAGAGAGAGAGAGAGAAAGAGAGAGAGAGAGAGAGAGAGAGAGAGAGAGAGAGAGAGAGAGAGATGGTCTGGTGAGGAGAAGATGATCTTGGAAGCACATATAATCCAGCGAACGTCCTACAGCCTGTGAAGACTGTCCTCAAACACTCCTTGATTTGTTTCTTCCTCCCCAAACATGCGGCAGAATAAGACTCTAAGAAGGTCCTCTGCTGCCATTTCCTTTTTTTTTGTCTTTGATATTTTATTGTTTTTTTTCTGTGAAAGTTTACGCAGCAAATTAGTATTCATTTAACAATTTATACATCAATGCTACCACAACTTGGTTGCTGTCCCTTCAATGTGTCAGCACACAATCCATTCCCGCCTTGCCTTCCCTCTCCCTGACCCTTCTTTCTTTATTATATTTGCTTTTGGACAAATGTTGCCCACTTGGTCTCCTATCTGAAGAGAACATTCCTTCTGGGTGTTATTATTAATTTTATGAGCTAATCTGTTACTTGGCTGAAAGGCAACCTCTGGGAGTGGTTTCAATTCCAGGTTTTAAAGGTGTCTTACAGTCATAGTCTTGGGGGTTCCTCCAGTCTCTGTCAGTTTAGTAAGTTTAGACTTTTTGAAGAACAGATTTGAATTTTGCTCTGCATTTTTTTTTTTACCCTTCTAACCGGGACTTTCTATTGTGTCCTGGCTAGAGTGGTTGGTAGTGAGAATTGGACTTCCTCTAGTTCGTCTGGTCTTCGTTTTGAAAGAGCTATGGGTTCTGCTGTCTACTGGTCCTAGACTAAAGCTTTCTTGATTCTTTAGGTTAGGTTCCTTTACTCTTTTTGAAAAGAGGTTAGTTGCTGTTGCTTAATGACTTTTAAGATCCTAGGTGCTAATCCCTAAACTAGGATGTAGAATATTATCTTTATGAACAATGTTATACCAATGAATCTAGATGTCTTCTGAGACTCTGGTCTTGAGCCTCCAAACTCAGTAACTCTGTCCCATGAGGTATTTGAATATGTCTAAGAAGTTTCTATAACTGTTCTCCCAATGTGCTCTATTATAGATGTGAACATATATGAAACACATACAAGACTGCATATACAAATGCCTACAGACCTATATACAGAGCCTTGGTGACATGGTGATGCCACCACCATGCCCTGACAACATGCCTAAAGTATGTGAGACAAAGTCTCATCATCCTTGCCTCTAAGGAACACCGTGATTGTACTTTTTCCAAGTCAGATTTGTTGATTCCTTTTCCACTCCTTAGAATAGTCAATACACTTCACCCATACCACAATTCGAAGACATCAATTCTTTGCAGTCTTCCCTGTCCATTGTCCAACTTTCACATCCATGTGAAGCATCTAACCAATGGCTTATATCAGGCACATATTAGTCTTCAAAGTGGCGTCCTTGCCTCAAAGGAGCACCTTGGCTGCCCTTTCTCTAAGACAGACTTCTTTGTTCTTCTGGCAGCCCATGGGATATTCAGGACTTTTCTTTAATACCATGATTTAAGGTTTTAATTTTTCTTCTGCCATCCTTATTCATTGCTCAACTTTCAGATGCTTAGGAAGCAATTTAAAACGCCATGGCTTGGATCAGGTACACCCTAGTCTTTACATTGGCATCCTTGCGCTTCAGTACTCTAAAGACATCGTTGACCGCAGATTTTCCCAATGCAATGCATCATTTTATATTTTTTTTTAATTCCTGCTTCAATGATTGTTGATTATGCAGCCCAGTAAAATGAAATCCTTGACAACGCCAATCTTTTCTCCATTTATCATGACGTTGCATATTGGTCCAGTTGTGAGAATTTTGTAGATTAAAATGGTTCCGGAGTTCCTAAGTGGTCCAAACAGTTAATGGGTTTACTTGGATGTGTAATCTACAGTGAAGACTAGAGTCTTTGATCTTCGGGAAGTACTTAATGTCTTCTTAATTTTCTGCAAGCCAGATTGTGTCACCAAGAGTTAGAATTAGGAAACCTTAGGAATTCCAACTCATGATGACCTAGATGTTACTGTGAAGAACTGAGCTCTGTAGGATTTTGACTGCAGTCTTTACAGAAGTGGATTGCCAAGGCTTCCTTAAGAAGTACCCCAAGGTGGATTCGAACTACCAACCTCTATATTAGGACTGAGTACAAGTGCTCAGGGACCTCCCACAACAGAGTGATTAAGAAATTCTTATTAGTTAGCTTAATTCTGTAAACCCTTCTTTACCATAATATATTGGCAAACTCATAAGTATTATGCAAAATGGATTTCTGTAATCAAGTCGACTTAGGGAATGCTGACTTTAAAAGGAGCTCAGTTTTAGAACTTCTCAAAGCCTTCCCTGTGTAATTATTTTTCACTCTTATAATCTTATTTCCCTGGGAACACTTATTTCACAGACCACGTCACTGGAACATGCTTTGGATGATGCTCCCTTGAGGGTTGTTTTATTTGGCTTAGAATTTAGATACTGTCCTTTTTCATCTTTGGATGTCCACTAATGTTGTTCTCATGTGCATACTTCTACCCCAGTGCATCAAGATCTGTATCACAGCTTTACAATATTATCTCTACCAATGAAATAATGCTCTGAGGGTAGAATTTCTGGTCACAACAAATACATAGGAAATAGTATTTGAACATGGAATCTTCTCAGCATCTATCTCTCATCTATCTATCTATCTATCTATCTATCTATCTATCTATCTATCTATCCATCTATTATCTATCTATCTATCTATCTATCATTTATCTCAATACCTACCTACCTACAACGTAATTGTTACTGCCAGTGTTGGAACATTGTCTAACACTGGGCAGTGTTTTTTTTTTAAATTATATCTCTCCTATATGCAATTTTGTTTCATTTTTCATGCTCATCTATTTTATTTGCTTAAAGTGTTTTTCTAGTTTTTACAACCACTTCTCCTCAAAATGGCTGAGCTCAGCACAGTACAGGCCATTCATTCAGGCACTCAAAGTTTAAGCATACTCAAATAGGAATCTCCACTTTGTCTTGTAAGTCCTCCCACAATCTTTCCATTGAGATATTGATTTTCCTTCATATTTATGCCTATAGTGATAGTTTATCCATTGATATTTTTGATACAATTTAATCCAGAATTAATTTTATTGTTGTTGTTTACTACTGTCGAGTTGGAGTCATTCCATGGCTGACCCTGCAGCAGATTTTCAGAGGCAGTAAATCTCACAGAAGTAGATTTCCCAACTTCCTTCTGCCTGGCAACTGGTGTATTTGAAGTACTGACCTTTGAGTTGAAAGCACAATTCCTTACCATTAAGTAAGTTTTAAGTGGGAGAAGAATGGACAATCTCCTCCTGTGTGATTAACCACCTCCGAAAACCCACCAGAGAGTCAGCTATGGATTCGTTCTGACTCAAAGGATACCATCACCACAACAAGAGATTTTTACCATCTTTGCTTTGTTTTGACTGGTAAAATTTTACTGTGACTGTGTAACTGTGATCAGTTTTCTTGACCTGAAGTTAAAGGACTCCCCATGTTAATACATGTTCTTTTTCATCTCACCCATTTCAGCTTAGATGATTACAACCGCCGGGTCACCCTGTGCAATGGAACCCATGAAGGTTTACTGAGAAGAAATCAAGTGGGAAGAAACAATGAGAAATTGCCAACCTTGGAAGACGTACACAAGTGTCTGTCTCTCACAAATTTTGACAATCCTCCTTTCTTCCAGAACTCTAATTTCAGCTTCAGGTTGGTACTCTGAGCTCAGCTATACTGTGGTTCACAATACTCTGTGATTTTCATGGACTCGTGGAAATCCTAATATTGGGAGGCATATATACATAAATCTGAGCAGTACAGAAGGTATAATAAGAGAGATTATGGAGAGAGAATAAGAAAAATTAATAAAGGATTCTCTCTCATTGTCATCATGGCTGACCCTGTAATCACACCGGAGATGATGGTCAGTCTTTCTCCTGTGGAGCAGCTGGTGGGTTTGATCTGCCAGAGAAGTATGACCCTTGAGTTAGTAGTGCGACTCTACTAGAGTTTCCCTAATAAGGATCAGTGTTAGGAAAATACTGAAATTAAAATGGTTCCGGAGTTCCTAAGTGGTCCAAACAGTTAATGGGTTTACTTGGAAGTTGGATGTTCGAACCTGACCAGAGATGCATGAAAAGAAAGACCCGAGGACACAGCCATTCTTCACCTGAACCACAGTAGAGTGTTTAAAACAATCAGTCGTTGCAACTGAACAGAATATAGGTCAACTCTGATGACACACGTAGGATTGCCATGAGTTACGGCTGACTCTGTGACTGCTGGTAGCTGATGCTCTCTACAACAAGTGCACGGATGTGAAGGCAAATCATTTTCAGACAGTAGACAAAAGAAGTATAAACCAACTGAGCATAGGCAGAAGTAGCATTGATTAGAAATCCCCTCCCTTGATAGCAGATTAAAAATCAAAGGTTTGCTGTAGTTCTCATTTGATTAGTTGTGGCCCTATCCCTAACCCAACTTCAAATAATAAGACTTTATTATCAGCTGAAAACAGGAAAATGAGATCTTTACCAGAATGAAGGACCCCTGGTGGTAGAGTATACAGTGTATTCGCTGCTCACTGAAAGGTCTGTAGGTCTGTAGCTTGAAACCACCAAATATCTCTGTGAGAGAAAGACGGCAGTCTCTTCTAAAAAAGGTTCACAGCCTTGGAAACTTGATGATGAGTCTGTTCTAGTTGGAATCGTCTCAGTGGCGGCGGGCTTGGTTGGTTTCACCAAACGGGAACTTTTGTTACTGATGCTCTGGTTTCCTGCAGGAATGCCCTGGAGGGCTTTGACAAACCAGACGGCACCATGGATGCTCAAGTGATGAACCTGCATAATTTGGTCCATTCTTTCTTAAATGGGACGAATGCCTTGCCACATTCTGCTGCCAATGATCCTATTTTTGTGGTATGTTTAAACATTCATCACTGGTGAACAATTTTCTGGCTAATATTTCTAGATTTATTTGCTTCTAAGTAAGATTCTATGATGTTTTCCCTCTGTGTGATGCATTCATATAGAAATTGAGCGTAATATATTCCAGGCCATTGTTGATGCTGTTGAGAGTTGCTATCAACTTGATTTTTGATGAGTAGAATGATTCTGTAGGATTTTGTTGGTTGTAGTATTAATGGACTCAAATTCCTTGGCCTTTGCATCTACAATACTGCTGGGTGGGTTCGAACTACCAACAACATGGCTAGTAGTTAAACTGAGACTGTTTGCACCACGCAGAGACCTTAACACACACTATGGGAAGTTGTTAGATAACAAATAAGAAGGTACAACCAGAGTGTTCCTTGGAGGTAAAGATGGTACTTTGGGAATGTTGCTAAGAGAGGCTATTCCTTGGAAAGAAACATCATTCTTAGGAAGGTGGAGGATGATGGAAGAGAGGAAGACCCTCAATTAGATGGATTGACACAGTGACTGCAGCAATGGGCTCAAGTGTGTCAGAGATTGTGAGGTTGGCACAGGATAAGGCAGGATTCAGATCTGTTGTTCATAGGATTGCTATGAGTCATTCTGGACTTGACAACACCTAACAACAAGTGAAATAACAACTCAGAAATGTATGCTTCAAGGGTGATTAGCTTTTAATGGTCCTAGGTAGGAGTCTTCTCCGTTCTTTCCTATACATCTGACAGCTGGACAATGAATAAGGATGACAGAAGAAGAACTGGTACCTTTCAGTTATGATGCTGGAGAATACGGAATACATGAACTGCCAAAAGAACAAACCAGTCTCTCTTGGAGAAAGTGCAACCAGGTTGCTCCGTAGAGGCAAGGATGGGGAAAAGTCATCTCACATACTGTGGGCATATTGTCAAGAGGGGCCAGGACTTAGAAAGGACAGCAAGCTGGGAAAGGTGGAGGGCCAGAGAAAGAGAAGAAGACCCTCAACAAGATAGATTGATGCAGTGCCTGGCACAATGGTCTCGAGCATATTAGAGATCCTGAAGGTGGCGTAAGATAGGCCAAGGTTCAGATCTATTGATAGTCTCCATGAGTCATAATCAACTTAATGGCAACTAACAAGAACAACAGAGAGGAGTCTATAGTCCAGAGGTGGGTCATACCAGAGAGTACACAGTTTAGAATAATGATATTGCCATTGAGTTGACTCCAACTCATAGTGACCCTATAGAACAAATCAGAAGTCTCCAGAGGCTTAGACTATAACTCTTTGTGAAAGCAGCCTACTACGTCTCAAGCAGCCTACTACGTCTCTCCTTCATGAATCAGCTTGTGTGTTTACATCAATGACCTTTTGGTTTACAGCTGAGTATTGTCAGCACTCTTAGGATGATGTTCATTGGTTAGGTGGGTGGTGGTGGTTGTTAGATGTCATTGAGTATAACTCATAACGACTCTGTGAACAACAGATCTGAACCCTACCTCTTCTGTACCCCCTCACAAGCTCTGACACCCTCCAGACCCTTGGGGCAGTCACGGTGTCAGCTCACCTGGTTGAGGGTCTTTCTCTTCTCTGCTGTCCCTCCACCTTTCCAAGTCTGATGTCTCTCTCCAAGGAATGGGCTCTCCTTGCAGTGTGTCCAGAGATGTGAGAGGAAGCCTCATCATCCTTGCTTCTAAGGAGCACTCCAGCTGCCCCTCTCCAAGCTGTATCTACTTGTCCTTCGGGAAATCATGGGATCTTCAGCAGATGGTCCACAAAGAGGACAGCTCTCGGTGAGATGGATTGACACGGCCACTGCAGCACTGAATGGGTCCCGGCACAGCCATGACGTGAGGTTGTTGTGGAATTGGATAGTTTTCCATTCTGTCTCCTACAAGGGGTCACTATTAGTTGGAATTGACTGGGTAACTCCTAAAAAGTCCGTTACATTTAAGTCTGCAATTGGTAAGAAACTCATATTTACTGGGAAAGGGGGCGCTTAAAATGTAATGGCGTTGACAGTGATTTGATTTTGTCACTACTTTGACATGATTCCACAGTTGTTTTACTGTTTGTTGTGATTTATCACAGTCAGAGTGGCTTTGTCTGATGTTGAAGCTCCATGAAATTGTTTATGTCCAACGCCAGGGCCTGCCCGACAGCAACCCACCAGCTACCAGCTTATCAGCTGGCCTTCCTTTCTTCCTCAAGCACAGCTCACCTATTTGCACAGACACTTTGGAAAACGTTTGCATTTGCTTCTTGGCCACTAAACCCCAACAATGTTTCTGCTTTGCAGACACTTCACTCCCCATAAACGGTTTTAACACTCTGGCTTCAGGATTGTATGTCTGAAACAGATGGTTTCAAAGCAATTACAAGAAGACTTTTCACCTCTGACTTTTTAAAATTTTTATTTTATATGGGTTTGCTTACAAAGTTCGTATTCATTGTATAGTCACACTATTCTTCATTCACATTGTGTTTCATGCAATCATTCCCGTGGATCATGTTTTGTAAAGTTAGTCACCATTGGGCCTTGCCCATCATTACCTTGTCTTTTCAGGTTTCTACTGATCCTTCCCATTTCCTTCACCTCCTCTGTCCACCCACCAAACCGTGCAGCCCTGACCTTTCTTTATTTTACCGGTATTTTGAGTTTATATTATTCTCCTCTTAAAGATCACTCTATAGTGTTGCAGACTGAGGGTAAAGTATTTTTATAATTGTTAATAATGAGATAGGCAACCAGGAACAAAATAAAACAGAGAGCATAAAAGACAGGGGCCCAGCAGTTCGAATCAACTGAAGTGCCTCAAGCCACAACTCTCTCTGTTATTTATTGAGAATCAGGGGAAGCAAATAAATTCTCTTGTAAATAAAGCTGAATTTTTCCTCTATTGTCAACCTAATACTTTCGCGCAGGAAGGAATTATTTTACTCTTATTAGCACTACCTCTGTAGGGGGCCCCTAACTGTCTCTTGTCTGCAGGAAACAGCTCATTTTCTGTGATCTGTCACTAGAGAAATCCCAACTTATAAATTTGTAATACCTTCAATTCCTGAACAAGCATGTGGTTTTTCACATAACATTTGGTATGAAATTTGGCTTCCCATACTATAGCAGATACAGGCGATATTTTTCCCCTAGAATTTTCCTTGCCTTGATGTTGATCCTCACGAGGCATTTCCAAAACTTGTGTTTATACCTGTATGCTTTTCACAGACTCCCGGGAGTCCACACAGCAGTGTGAAAAGAGCACTGGGTGATCCCCCAAATCCGAGCCGTTCTGTGCAGCCCTGACTGCGATCCTGAATCTTGGGTGCATCTTGCATCTTGTAGCTCTCTGCAGCCTCTGTGTGCCTGCCTTTGCAACATCCAGGTCATGTGACCCGATCTAGTGTTTTGACAAGTACTGTGCTCATTAAAGCACCTCTTAATAAGTTAGGATCACAGAAAGCTGCCCCAGGAACTGTTATGTACAATACAAACATTGTCATTAGAATAATAATGTGTTTCAGGGTAGTCAGTGTGAAAGAATTAGAGAATTACGCCTTGGGTTTGAATTTCCAAACCTTAATTACAGCTCCTTATCTTGTCCTTCTGTAGCAGAGAGGTGTGCCCTCAAGTTATTTACTGACAAGTACAAAGTCGGAGTGGAAGCATGCACAGCACGCACTTGCCTTTCGGGTAACAGTTATATACCGAGTGTAGAAAGCTCTGGTGCCTCATGATAAGGAACTGCACTGCAGTCTCACAGGCACGCGGTTCAAATCTGCCGGGTGCTTCATTGGAGAAGGGTGGGCAATCTCCCCCCCATGTCATTCACTGCCTCTCAAAACCTAGAATGTCAGCTATAAGTTGGTTCCTATTCGACGGCACATGGCAGCAACATACCCAGGTATGGGGCGGAGAAGAGGGATTTGCTTCGAAGCTCAAAGCCTGTGAGGTGATGCTGGGCTGTGGCCACACTGCTTTGTGAGGGATTTGGACTACAATCAGGTTTCCTCCAGCTGCTCATTGATTTGAACGTTGTGGTTCAACTAAAAAACTTACTGTTGCCCTGTCCGTTCCAACGCATAGGGTTCCTTCCGTCAGGCTTCCAAAGCTGTCAGCCCTCACACGAGGAGACAGCCCCTCTTTTTCCTGCTGAGCTGCTGGTGGATTCAAAGGTTTTCTCTGGCCTTGGGCAGAGCAGCCCCACGCCCCACACGCCTCGAACGCTCTCCTTCACACTCAGAGGCAGCCAAATGCAGTTATAAGCTTGCAAACTCAGAGGCTCCAGGCACCTCCGGAGAGTGAACGCAGCTTGCACTGTGTACCACTGTTTACATATAGGTGGGTGTGTGTATCATCCATACCTAATCGGGGCTCTCACAACATCTAAATCCTGTTTCTTGGACCATATCCTGAAAGTTAAGCAACTTCTCAAACATACCAATGGTGATGTATTGTTGTTACTCCATGCATAATATTAAAAAAGGAGATTTGAAAAGAGCTGGAAAAGTTAAAGCTTCTAATGATTCTAAACTTGCCTCGGGGTGTCAGAGTGGAGTCTCCAGGTCTAGGGTGCTTTCAGAACCATGAAAGCTAATGTTTGAATGTTGTTGTTGTTGAGCGCTGTTGAGTCAAGTATGACTCATAGGGATCCCGTGAACAACATATCTGAACCGCGTCCTGTCCTGTGCCATCCTCAATCACTCAAACACTCAAGCCCATTGCTGTAATTACCATGTCAATCCACCCAGTGGAGAGTTTTCCTGTCTGCTGACCGTTCACCTTCCTAAGTGTGACGTCCCTTTCCAAGGAAGAGCCCCTCCTAGCGACGTGTCCAAAGTGTGTGAGACAAAGTTTCCCCATCTTTGCCTCCAAGAAACACTCTGGTTGTGCCTTCTCCAAGACAGATCTGCTTGTTCTTTTGCCAGTCCACGGGATGTTCAGTGATCTCCAATACCAAAACTCAGATGCATCATTTCTTCTCTTGTCATCCTTATTCACTGTCTAGCT